GATAGAGCGTATGTAAGTATAAATATAAAAGTGGACATTGAAGTCAACACTCAAAGGCGACAGACTATTTCATGCTAGATACAATAGTCAGGCCGCGAGTGCTGGATTTTCCCTCGATTATTTATATATATAGGTCAGTGGGTAATCCATTCTGGCGGGAGTGGCTTGTTTATTTATTTATTTATTTATTTATTTGGATTAATTTATTTTATTTGTTTTTATTTTCATTTTTTATTTTATATATTTATTTATTCATTTCGGTTTTCTATTAATGTAATAAAAATGTTTTTTGTGGGTGTGGGATTTGTTTAGGTCGCCTGTTTTACTTGTTTTTGCTTATTTATTTTTAATTAAATGTAACGGTTGTTTTTAGGGAGCGATTTGTATTTTGTTCATCAAATACTCGTGGCCTGACGATTGAGTCTAGCATGAAACAGCTTCTCGCCTCTGACTGTTGACTTCAATGTTCACTATATATATATATATATATATATATATATATATATATATATATATATATGTGTGTGTGTGTGTGTGTGTGTGCAAATATGTAGAAAATAGGAAAGAACTCGTTAGGTAAATAATCCGAAGTTCTTTTAGTTTTTTTTCTATTTTTTTTAAAAATCAGTGCTCGATACAAAAGTAGAGTCTAAATTATAATTATTTTTTTTAAATCATATTTTTTTTAAATAATTATAATATACTCGACTCTCCGTCGAATTTGACTTCTGAGGGTAAAGCAGATCAGTTCCCAGGAAACCGACAGCCCGACAACGGCACATGAGATTTGATTATAGTGGTGAAGGTTTCGTGCAGGACCGTCCACATTTTGAAGGGCCGAATATAGAGACCTGGTGCACTACGTGCCACAGCGTCCCCAAACGACCATCCGCAGGTTTTGAATTCAGAGTTGTTCTTCTCCTAGACCAGTTTATATCCAAGGCTATAGAACCCAGATAATATATATATATATATATATATATATATATATATATAGTGCCACGCAAAAGTTTATAACGCATTAAAAAAAACGTTTTTTAAATATTTCTAATACACTTACATTACATAAAATTTTATTTATTGCAGAACATATCTTTTGGTCTTCAGTTAAATAATCAGATTTTTTAAAGACTTCAAGAAAGTCTTCCACAAGGAAAAACCGATATTTATTAGCACAAAAGTTTACAACACAATTTTTTTTTTTATTTACAACAGCTTTTTTTTTTTTTTATATGAGTGTTTAAATTTGACTAGACTTTTCCAAATTAGGGTGGGGTTGTCTTTTAGAAGGTTCCAGATTAATTTTATGATTACTTTTTTAGGAATAATTAAAATTATTGCGTCATTTTTTTCTGTCAACCTTTCTTTAAACATTGACAAAATGGAGAAAAGCAAAATAATTGATGAAAAACCTTCTTAAACATATTGTTGACCTTCATACAAATGGATTTCATTATAGGAAGATATCTAGTCAGTTAAATGTGCCATTGAGTTCAGTTGGTACGATAGCTCGTCACTGGAAGACGTATCATTCTATTTATCACCCCAAGAAAGCTCTGGTCATCCTAAAATGGCAACGGAACGCACGGCACGATTATTGGCAAGAAAAATTGGCCACAAGCCCCGACTTAGGCTTGAAGAAATTTCAGGGAGGTCGAGAAGTAAGTAGAGTAAAAGTTAGTACGGATAAAATTAGTCGTTCACTTCATTGATATGTCATGTTTAAACGTTTCGAGAACTCCAAGGAAAAAACGACTTCTTAAGCAAAAACGCGTTCTTGCTAGACTGGATTTTGCAAACGAGCATCGTATTAAAGCTGCAACATTTTGGGAAAATGTACTTTGGTCTACGAAACGAAAATTGAACTTTTTTGGCAGAAATGCTGTGGCAAAAGTCTGGAGAAAGAAGGGTACTGAATATTCGCTGAAGAATACTATCCCAAAAGTAAAATTTGGAGGTGGGTCAATCATGATCTGGGGTTGCTTTAGTGCCCAAGAAGTAGGGAACATTGAAATAATAAAAGGTAGGATGAATGGCGCATATTGTAAGGATATTTTGGGAAAAAAAATTATGTCAGACTGCACAATCCGATTGAAAATTTATGGAGGGAGCTGAAACTGAGAATTCAAAGAAGGAACCCGTAAAACCTGCATGGCCTAAAGGAATTTTGTCGTGAAGAATGGAAGAATATTAGCCAAAAAACTTGCAAGAAATTCGCAGGGGTCTACTCCAAACGCCTACACGCTGTTACTAGCAATAATTGTTACGCTACGAAATATTAATACATGATTTAATAAATGTATTGTAAACTCATACGTTATCAAATATTGGTTTTTCTACATGGGATATTTTTATTGATTATTTTTAAAATCTGATTATTTGACTAAAGGCTTAAACATATGTATTATTAGTAGTAAAAGTTTCATTTATCTGTGTTGTAATTACCTAAAGAAACATTTTTTTTGTGTTGTAAACTTTTGCGTGGCACTATTTTTTCGAAAAAAGAGGTTGCATTTTGATTTTAAATCTAAATATAACGTTCACTCGCCAGTAATTTACAATCGCCTGATGCAAGCATAAGAAAGACTGTTTATTAGAATAAAGCTGTGCCTTTGTTTTTAGTCACGTGTTTTATTCTTAGACTTATGCTAATTTTAGGTTTTAGCCGAAATTTTATAAAATAAATTTGTTCCTCGTTAATTCTTCCTTAGCCAATTCACCCTGATGATCCAATCTGGTGAAACCCAGGTAGATAATACCTGGCTCATTATATATATATATATATATATATATATATATATATATATATATATATATATACCAGGGCTGAAAAGACAAACGACAACTTTTGATGTCTGTCGAAATAGCGTATTCCCCATATGAGATAAAGAGATTGGTTTGATTATCAATTGTATTGCTCTGTATAAATAAATTTTTTATAAATGATCTTTTTCGATCAGTTCTAATATTTTCATATTACTAGGATCCACTAGAATTATATATGATTTTCACCTTACTATATATATATATATATATATATATATATATATATATATATATATATATATATATATATGTATGTATGTATGTATGTAAAAGTGGGAATTGAAGTCAACACCCAGCGGCAACAGTCTCTTTCATGCTTATATGCAATCGTCAGACCTTTGAAAACGGTTTTATTGGTCAGTTCAAGTAAAATGACACGTGTATCAAAAAAGTTTGTAGCCCATACACACACACACACACACACACACACACACACACACACATATATATATATATATATATATATATATATATATTCCGATTTCTTTTTGAATTTGTAGGTCTGATGAATTGGATCGTGATTACGATTCCAATATAATAAATTTTTAACCATGGAATATTAGTGTTTGAGCTTTTTTATATTATATTCTTACTTTGTCCTGGACATTGAATTCTACCTGGATTATATATATATATATATATATATATATATATTTATATATATATAGTTTAGGCTATACTTATGAGTAAAAGTGCCTTGAGACAAGGGAAAACAACGCATGACATACCTAACGGCCTTAAGCAAGTGGGTGACAGAATGTGGTCTGTCGGGGACGTTTACAGGCAAGGAAATTGTTGAGAGCTGCAAGGGATAGAGGTGGGTGCAGAGTCATGATCGCCTACGTCCTGAAATGACACGGCACATAGAAAGAAAGACTGCGTTCAAGCCCGAAACAGACTGTCGCCGCTTGAAATTGTCCTCAGTTTGGCATTTATTTTCTTTATTGTTATGTTTCGGTCGCATATAAATTTCGCGATTAGAAAGTATTTTATCTTTATAAATATATTTGTTTGTCGGTGTATGTGTGGGGGTGTCTGCACTTGATGACACCTATGTGTTTGTGTATGTGTACGTGTAGTTTTAGTTAAATATAATATTTTAACACCGCAAGAATTTCAAACTTACAATTGAATTAGAGAATACATTGACTAACAATCGATTATATATATATATATATATATATATATATATATATATGTATGTATGTGTGTGTGTTTGTGTGTATGTGTATATATATATATATGTATGTATATGTATGTATGTATGTATGTATATATATAAGTATATATGTACTATTTAATGAAACATGCATCAATGTATATATATATATATATATATTGTGACATGTTTCGTTGTACCGTTTGGACATATTCTATTTGCTCATTTTCGTTAAGATTCTTTCATAGTCTCGGTTAAGTTTCTTGATATCATTACTAAAAGACGAAAGAAAACCGCCGTGTTTATACATATTTTTTTTTATTACCAAGTACTTTCGACATATCCATATCATCATCAGGATATTGTTTATAATAAAATGAATATGATAGTATCCATTATTTTCAGAGACAAAATATTATGCTATCTGAAAGTTAATTTTTTTTGCAAATGGAGTTAGGAACGCTACGTCAGTAGTGACATCAAAAAAATCCGAGTATGTCAGTTATGTGCCATGCTTTCGATACATGACTGACGTGGCAGATATTTTCCCACAGTAGGTTGCCATTTCTTTCTGCGGTAGGCTAGTTGTCATCCAACGCGATAAAACCGGGTCTGTCCTGCTATTTACCCATAGCTGACGGGTGGAGAAGAAGGCGATTCCTACCTTTCCCAAGAGTATTAGCAAATGAATGTAATGGATTCGACTGGAATTCGAACTCGGCTCTCCGATTCCTTAATCCAAGCCGCTATCCATTACTCTACTGTGCCTCCAAGACGCATGAAAGGATTTTAGCGAAAATGTGTAATATGTCTAAACTGTACAACGAAACATGTCTTAATGAAAACATACTGCCGAAATAAAGACTAAAATATTCAGACATTGGGCAATTTGTATTCAACAGGGGTTAGGTCATTGAGCATTGATTTTATTACTACACCACTTCAGTAACGCAGCAATTATATTACTTTCTGCAGTATGAAATAGTTTTTGTAATTAGTTTGTCAGATAGCTAACTAGATAGGAACAGAGATATTGACAGAAAGAAAGATAAAACAACATAGATAGATAGATAGATAGATAGATAGAACCAGACTGAGGCACCAATTTATATTTTGTCTGTTTTTTCGCTTTACAAACTGGAATTTTAACAACCCCGCAATACTTCATGAAACCATATATTAATTGCCAATGTGTATTTATTTTTATGTTTCCTATGCCATCAGAGGAATTGATAAGACAAGCGGTAACGCTGCAGAAGAAAATGCATCAGTTCCTATATATCTTATCTGAATATGTGAATTATGGTATCCTAGATTCAACACACTTTTACCCTCTAAATGTAAAACTGAATAACAATTAAGTGATAAATTTATTATTGATATTATAGGTGTAATTACATGCTGTATCAAATTTTGCTTTTATTATTATTATTATTATTTTGTATGTTATGTTTTCTGGTTTGTATCCTTGTAGAACCGGGTCCAAACTATGGTCCTTAAGCTCTATAGAAGAATTATCATTTAACTGATAGCTCTTTTCTTAGTATATGGGATATTCCCAGCAGGGCGATCTTCTGGGAAATTTGTATGTTGAGGTTACCTGAGACACTGTTAGTAAAATTGTCTATTTCTGTTCTCACAAGGCCCAGAACTTTGATTACTATTAGTACAGACTCACTCTTCATTCCCCACAGACATTTAATGTCGATCTCCAGGTCCTTGTATTTGAACAATTTCTCTATAATTTCTATGGAGGTGTTTCTCTCAGATGGTACTGCTATGTCAATAAGCATACATTTCCTGAATTTCTTGTCTTTTATGATAATATCAGCACTGTTGGCTTTTATTTAACTGACACTTTGAATTGGCATGTCCCAGAGGATAGTTACATCGTTATTTTGATTAACTGTGTCTGGATGGTGTTCATACCATCTCGTTATTTCGTTATTTAATATCCCACCCACGAGGAATATATGTGGCACAAGGCCGAGTTTAAAGTGGGTTTCTCCGAGCCCGTAGGCTCGGCCAAAAAATATATCCTTTCATACCATCTCTCAGTGGTTTCGATTTTCTGCTTCTTGCATATCTTTCAGCGCACAAAAGTCGCTACCTTGTTATGTGTCTTCCATCCTTGATTATGTGACAATGATAGGATCTGTTTGCGAGGCTATTATTATTATTATTATTATTATTATTATTATTATTATTATTATAGCTCTCTCATTATGGATTTTTTCTCTCTTATGTTTTTTAGCAATCGGATTTTTTTTCGGTAGGTATTAAATTTGCCAATCAAATGTGATTGTCTCCATTTTTAGTAATGGCGACAATCACATTTTAGTAATGTAGTAATGACAACGCCTATAATAATATATGTAAATGAAAAATCATTTGCCATATATTACGAGCTTATAATTAAAAGAAAAATAAGCCGTCATTTTTTTTTTTTTTTTACACCAGTAATTTAATAATTCTTGCGAATATCGGGCCAATTTATTCGTTATTAAAATCGCTTTTCCCATTATTTTTTTTTTTTTTTTTTTTTTTTGTCATTGTCACGTGTGACTCTCCCATTTATGCTTTTGCAGAAATACTCAAGTGGCTTCAAGAAATCAAAAGACGTTCGCAATTGTAACACGTAAAGAGCAACCACCTTCGTGAAATTCCCACTGTACACAAGTTCAGTGTACAAAGCAAAACAACGCAAACAGAAACGTTAACAGCTTTACAATAACGACAACTACGACAAACGGACTTGCTTGGCCTAAATAAGAAAAAAAAAAAAAGACACAATTGTTTCGATGCAAATGGAAGAAAATATAATAAATGAATAAAAATTTTAAATAATGAAAAGGAAAACCTAAGAAAGTAACAAGGATCTTTTTTTTTTTAGTATAAATTTACTACTGTTGTTTAAAAACAGAGACAAAAAGACAAAATCCTTGTTATCAGAGTTAACCCCCTCATGTACAAGTGCGGGACTGGGTTGGTCTAAGCATTTCTTAGCCCGGTCCACTTCCCCATTGCATAGTCTCTCAGTCAAATAGTGGCTTTCCCTACTCGTTTCCCGAATACATCTGTTCAACATGCTTTACTTTATTTCTTCCTTACCTCTTCTCCTAGCTCTTGTAGAGTATCACAACTCTACCCTAAGGCAATTCGGATCACGCTGTAATATCTATTGATATTTCTTTTGATTTATCTATTAAAAAGGAATCTTCTATTAACGAGACTTCTTTCTGTTACCAGCGTACTGATTGGGATTAATTTCGTGACTTTATTCGAGACACCCCTTGAATTGATATTCTTAACCTTCCTATTGGGAATTGTGCCACGGAGGTTTCTTCTTGGGTTAAAGCAGGCATTGATGTGTTTGTACTTTCTCGCAAATATCAGTTGAAACCACAATCTTTTCCTTGCTTCACACATGCCTGTTCAACCGCTGAACCCACAGGAATCACTTTCTCCGAGTGTAACAGCGTGATAATCCGATCACAGAGACGCCGGTTTGTGATTGCTCGAAATAATTTTAAACGTTTTATACTTTACTCTGTTAGTTCTGTCATTGACTTGTTGGAATGGAAAAAATAACAAGGTTCACCAACTTTCTTCTAAACCACTGAATTGATCTTGTAGAAATCCTCTTGTTTTGAAGAGGATCTTTTTTTTTCACCGTCAGTGTTGTAATTAACACTGGATACCCTTTTGTCGTAGAGTTTGATTAGAATTCCTTTCTTCACCACTGTTGTAGACATTGGCAATTTTTTTATGATTTAACATGAAGTCCGTTTCTTCGAATCCATCGCCGTCAAGATGTTGTGACCAAGTAAATGGTTAAGTACAGCAGAAGAGTATTACACTACTAGAAAGAGTCTATCGAATGAACTTGCGCTCAATCTATTCACAGTTGACTGTTCCCCGAACCTTCTCTCCTACTAAACTTATAGTAGGCGGAAGAGTCTAACATAGACTCTTAGACGGAGGACACCACAACAATTACTGAGTACTTAAAAATTATATAAAGAAGGTGCTCACGTCATTTTTAAAATCATGTTTTAACAGATAAATTTTCTGTAGAACAACAATCATTATGTCCAAACCTGTCAACACCTCATCATTGACATAAAACATGTTTTGTTTTAAAAAATATATTTCTGTGTTATTTCAAACTTAAAGTAATTTTTTTTTTTCAAATCAGATTAATTGTACTTTAAATCAGCTAATATTAATCAAATAAAGTTTCAGAAAATTATATTTATTTTTGGAAGATTTTTTAATATAGAGAAAAATATTGAGATGAAAGAGGAACTAAAAAAAGTCTCTATTTTATAATAATTTAAAAAAATTAAAATAATTTTTAAAAAATTTAAAATAATTTTTAGAAAATTTAAAATAATTTAAAATGGCGCTATTTTAGAAAAAAAATTGATTCCAATCGATATAATTTCTGTTTGAAAAACACCAGAATATTTTGCTTACTGGAAATTGTAAATTTTTATACTTTAGCTTTCAATTAAAGCTAAAATGGAAGCTTTAATAAAGCCTTTTTCATTTATAAAAATTCATTATAAACCATAGTATCGAAAATTAGTGGAGGTACCTATACTAGAGGCTCTAATTAACTATAAATTGGATAAGTATCTCACATTTCAGGGTCTTCTTACAGATAAACAATATGGCTTTCGCTTCTCTAGGTCAACTGCTGATGCGTTAATGCTTATTACTGAAAGAGTCTGTCAAGCTGTTAATAAGAATAGTAAAGGTCGGATTATTGCTTTGGATATCTCGCAGCCATTTGACAGTGTTTGGTGTACTAGTCTGCTTCACAAGTTAAAACGTTATGGAATTTCTGGACGAATTTTTAAATTGATTCACTCTTTCTTATTAAATCGTGAAATTAAAGTGGTCTTGAATGGCCAATCTTCTAGATCTTTTTACATACTGTTATTCCCCAGTTTTCTATCCTTGAACCTACATTGATTCAAATTTTCATCAAGGACCTTCCTGATGTCATCAGTTCTCAACTCGGTATCTATGCTGGTGACACAACTATTTACTCCTGTCTTAGTAGTAAGTCTGATCGGTTCGATAAGGTTAAATTGGCAGCTGATCTAAAAGAAAAAATTACCTAAAATCCATTGTTAAACGGGACAAGGAGTGACTTATTAATTTTAATGACTCAAAAACGAAACTGCACTCTGTTTATCAGCTAAGAAAACCTTTTTTACCTTCCATCATTATGGCTGATGCTAACCTCCAGTAGAATGGTTCATTGATTCTTATTAGACTAACGTTTTCAGCTAACATGAAGTGGAGAGAGTATATTGAATCAATGGCTAAGTCTGCAGCTAAGAAACTTGCCAGACAAACTTTCTCGCCAGAATCTTACATATTTTTAAGTCGACCATTCCATCTTGCTTTGGATATTGTTGCCACATCTTATCTAGTGCACCTGCATAATAATCGGAGATACTTGATAAATTCCAAAGAATCTGCAATGTTATTGGTCCTGACCTGGCATCTCGATCTCAGTTCCTTTCCCACCGCCATAATATAGCTTCCCTTTGCCTTTTCTATAAATATATTCATAGAAATGGTTCTAATGAACATTCAGCTATGGTACCTTGACTTCATGAATTTAAATGAAGTACTAAAATGAATATTTATTATCGTTTCTTCAAGTTGATAATCTTGAAAAACTAACAACATTTTCTGCTTATCTATAAATACTTGTCACAAAATAAAATCGTTGCATTTGTCTAGATAAAGTCCCTCAAAGGACGAAATGCGTTGGCTAAGATTAGATTTCCTTTGTTTATTTATATATATATATATATATATATATATATATATATATATATATATTATGAAATGGACAAATTATTTAAGATTATTTAAGACTTTTTATGTTTATACGTTCTTTTTATCAATAAAAAGAACGTATAAAGATAAAATGTATATATATATATATATATATATATATATATATATATATATATATATATATATATTCATTTGTATGGATATGAGTTTGTGACCCTGGGTTTCATGCTTTTTGCAAAAGCGTAAAATACAGGGTTACAAACGCATATC